ATGTCTCTGGGGTAAAATTATGATGAAATTGAAATCCAAATTTATAAATTTATATCTCTAAAAATTATCCAAAATGTTCTATACACACATGGTTTACCCTTCACCAAAATATGCGCTTATGATGTTGGATTCAACATTTAATGGTTGGATAAATTTTCATTCCGATAAAACCCCCCCATCGCTACTTTTGTTGAGTATAAATGCACTAATCGCGCATCAAATAAATAATCAACGTTATTTTAATAGTATAAATCCGGTTCTATGTTTACACAATTAAAGCCATCTTGGCCATCTCTTTGGGGCCAATTTCATTAACAAGGTTGATAAACACCTTGGAAAAAATTATAAGCGATGGATTTAAACATTTGTGGGAAATTTCAAACTATTCACTAAATATTTTACTCGAATTTTACTTAATTCCATTTCTTGGTTTTTATAAATAAGAAAAATTTCTTTGAAACCATTCACCATTTTCAGAGTCGTCGGAAGACCCGCATCACATACATACACTATACCCATTTTTTATATACTAATATTTTACTCGATAAATTATTAAAAAATTATTTTATAACGTTGAAAACAAAATGAGTTTGGATTCTGGAATTATATATTTCCATTTTAAACCGGTTTTCAATTCACTGTTTTTCAATTTATTAATTTTTTAACATAAATAGTGGACACGTTCTTCATTTTTTTATTCTTTTTACCTTTCCCATTTATGTTTCTAAAATAAGAATGTATAAACAAAACCAATTTTATTCAAGTAATTTTGACCGAAAAAATCCCAAATAATGATTCTGTAAGGTGAATTGTGGGGTCCCATGGATGACTTTTGATTATCCAAACGGCCAAAGGTTTAGCAAAGATCCCAAAAAGACATCATCAAGATCTTTATTGTTTACCATCAGGCGTTTTGTTTAAGTTGTTTGGATTTTAAATTAAGATAATAATAATATTATTTAGTTCCATAAAACCCAAAAACACTCCGTATATCATCAAAGAATTTTTCGGGATGGATTTGTAATGTTTCTGTTTGGGCGCCTTTGGTCTTAATTTGAATTTTTTCCCAGTAAAAAGATATAACAAACTCGCTTTTTTCTAAAGGGGTTTCCCGTATAACGCGTAAATGCCAAAAGGGATTTTCAGAGCCAGAAATTTGGGCTCCGAAATTTATATAAATTAAGAAAAAAAATGACAAAATGATCTTTTTCATGGTTTGGTCACTCCCCCCTTGGCTTTGATTTTAAACATTGTGATTATCCATTACCCCCCGTATATATATATATATATATGCTTTTGGATAATTCTAAACTTATTATAAACCGTTCCCAGGTATTACCAAAAATTTAAAACGGTTTCGAAATACCATAATAAAGGTAAGAGTATTAAATTTTAAGAGTTGTTTCTAAAAAGCCAAACCAAGTGTCAGCGAAGTGTTTTCCAAATTTTACTGATTGATATAATTTTTTTCCATATATAATAATATGGAATTTGTGCGATATATTACGGCAAACGTGGGTTTGATTGGCTACGATCTAGTGCTTTCCCTCTTTGAATTTGGTTTCATTTCTATTTATTGTTTCGTCACCGTTCAGATCTTTAGTTGCACTTTTTCAACCAAAAATGTCGAACACGTTTCATTATTCTGTTAGCCGATTGGAAATTAACACCTGAATTAAATTTTGTTTTCCATAAAATGTTTAAACGTCAATTGGCGAATATTTTTAATTTATTGTATGGGGAACGCATCGCTGTGTCATGGCAAAAGGTAGCTTCAACAGCAGCGATGTTAGTTATATAAAAATGGCAAGTTGAGTATAAGACACAAACCGTATTTTCTTAGATGTCTGTGTTATTTTTGACATATTTTTTCCAGAGAAACTTTGGCTAAACTTACCAAAAGCAGCTGTCGTAGGGTGGGCTGCTGTGTGGGCCGCCGCTGCCTCTATGACTAAAAAAGGGAGGCGCACTCAAATTCTATTTAATTGTTGATCCTATATTTATTGTCAGTGCCCCATTCAATTTTTATTGTTATTTTAAACGCAACCCATGACCAATTCTCTTATACTTACTTAAGTGTGGTTGTTGGGCGCATTTTAATTTTACGTGTTCCTTTATGAATTTAGATTCAACATGTGGACTATCATGAAAAAACTGAACAATATTTTCTGGAAAGGCCGCAGTGATAAAAAGAATGCAATTGTAATCAAAGGAACTTTTTTCTTTTACCGACTGTAAAAAAATGAGAGGCAAGTACTAAGCGTGCGCGCAATTATGCGCACCAGAAAACAACAACATTGATTCCACTATGATTCTTATGCAAATTATCCTATTATGTTTACTTTCAGGTTTCAAAGAATAAATCCATATGTTCTTTTGTGTGCAAGCCGAGATCTAAATGCCTTTTATTTAAGGATGAGTGTTATTTACCCTATTGGGTTTTGATATATTTGAATATTTTGGCAAGTTTACTTGCTGTTGCAAGGCAAGGTACTGCAATAATTTTAATTCAAGTGTAAAGCTGCAATTTGTCTTGCTTATTACTATCAAGAGCATTTATTTAGATATCTTTCTCAAGGCTAACGTTTTTTATATTTCAAAAATCAAATGAAGGGGATTTTACTCACTTCGAAAATTGCTTTGAATCCAATTTTAAAAGCCAACATTAAGAAGGCGAAACTCGATGAAATTCTTCGCGTTGATCATGCTGGAGAGGTCGCTGCTGTTCGTATTGCGTCTCACCAACTAGCTTGGATGTCGCCTTTGGATGATGCCGTTCCAATTGTAAATGAAATTTTAGACGATGAATTGGTTCATGAAAAGGTGATGAATGACCTTGTAAATCAATATGACATAAAAACGACAAAACTCGATCCTCTCTTCAAACTAGCTGCTTTTATATTAGGTGCAGGAACGGCTGTAATCGGTAAGGAGGCTATGATGTGTTGCCATGCTGCAGTCGAGGTAACTATTTATGACCATTACAATGAACAACTACGAGAAATGGAAATACTTGATCAAGCTATAGAGGATATGAAGGAGACAGAGGGAGAGGTAAAGGAATGGAATTCAATAAAAGACACTGTTGCAAAGTTTCGTGATGAGGAAAAGCATCATCAAGAACTTGGAGAACAAAATGGTGCTGACCAGGCTCCAGCATATCCATTGCTATATAATACAATAAGGTTGGCATGCAAAGTCGGAGTATCCTTAGCAAAGAAAATATAATTTATATTTTCACATTAGAAGAGAATATATTTAGTTATATTAGCATCAAAAGTAAAAACACTCAGTTTTCTGTATTATTATTACTTTTTACTCCCAAATGAGAGAAGCGTCAGTGAACCCTTTCTCATGTGCTTGTTAAAAAATTGCATTTCTTTTTACGTTAATATTTTTTCAGGAAATTAATAGTGAAAAAAGTATTATTTTCAATATGGTAACTATTAAAGATCTTTCGCCTATTGCATTGGAAAAACTTGAGACATTCTCAAAGTCATTAATCAACATAGAAGATGAAAGTGAAGAAAAGATGAACCAGATATCTCTCGCCTATCGAGTGAGGATGGAGCCACTTTTTGAAAAGCGACATCAGACATTATCAACTGTTGAGGGCTTTTGGTCTGGAGTTTTTTCGTCACACGAAACAGCATTACACACATTCATGAACAGCACCATTGATCCAAAGATTATTCGTACAATCATAGATTTTAAAGTAGTTTCTACAGTAAAGGATAACAAACTTATACGGAAAGTTTGTTTAGTATTACGGGGAAGCATATTTGCTGATGGTGGGACAATCAGCCGTGAAATCGACACCGATACGAACACTCTTTCTATTCAGCCTATTCACTGGAAAGAAGGTACCGACCGAGCTCGTAAAGATTCCCTTTTCCGTTTCTTTGAAGAAAACACCAAGGTTGACATGGAATTTCTTTCAGATGCACTGGAAGCATTTGATAATGTTTTTCAAAATCCCTTTCTTGCTGTTGAAAAAGATTAAGGTGATTCTATTCTAAATACTATAGTGGAGGTCATATAATTATTACTCTTAACATCATTCCATAAAGCTAAGGTTAATATGTATGATACTTCTCATTATTTACTTCATTTAGAGGAATATGACACTTGATAAAATCATGCATGTTTTTTACAGATTTTTGTCCACTGGCCTCTTTTTTTTGTTTATGATATTCATTTATTAATTTCCCCTAGAAGTATTGACAAGAATCTTCATGAATTCTGAAATTGTCTGATGAAGAGCATAAACAAGTTGTTTTTCACTCCAAGAAAACTTATTTAAAAAGTTTAACTTAAGATACTCTTGTGAATATTTGACATATTCCAATGAGCTACTACTCTATTCTCTTATATGATGATTTGAGTTAACAGTGATGTTTTTTTGAACGGTATACTTCATCACATAGGCTTGAAAAACACTCTTTGGAATCTAGTGATTAGCTTTATGATGTGACACAATTAAATAATAAAGTGGCGTGAAAACATCACAATATACTTTACACATCGGATGAGTCTAATTAGAAGTGTATTTTGGAGTTGGATGAAAATGATATTGCGTTAGAAAATAAAATAAAGCTGAAGTTGAAGTTTGAGGGTATATAGGATCAAAACCGATGAATTAAGTATCCCTTGAGTTTAGTAAGGTGAGCTAGGAATGATTTACTTATTTTATTCAGGATTAATTTTTGGAAAGAGTGATTTTAAAATATTAAAGAGGATTAACACTCCTGAGGTTATTTTATATATTCAATGAAGGAAAGTACAAGGACTTATTCCTAGTAAAAAGTTGCGCACTGCTAAACCAGATTCTATCAGTTCAGAATTTCGATCTATGGAAAGTGAATGAAACGACGAGCCACTACGAATCAATGATCAGTAGACTTTATGTGAGCAAGATGTTGTGCCCTTGATTAGTCATGGATTTAATATACATATTGTTGCGTGATGTGTTTATGATTTGCTTCTTTTTTAGCTACCAGCATTTTTACTTGCAAGCGTGATAAAACATACTCATTCCACACTTAGTTCATAGTGAGTTTAATACAGTGCTTTAATTTCATTTTAAATCCTTATTGACAACAGAGCAATAAACTGATGAACGAAGGTTTTGATAGTTGACTTATAATGACAATATTTAGTGTTTTACTTGAAGTAACTTGTCTTTATTCATTAGTCAAAAAATTAGGACGCTTTGTGTAATGGAAGAATGAACTAAGGGGAAGGGGAGTAGTCATATTATTAAATTAACTTCTCTCCTTATTGAACACACACACACAAAAAAAAACAATTCCCTTTCTCAGTTACAATACTAAATCAATCCGCTTGTTTCCAATTATAACTTTCTAACTAATTGTTTTCTTCACTTGAATGTTAAATCTACAATAAAAATGACGAATAATTCCATTTTCTTGTGTTCCCTTAAAAAGGTATTAGTTCAACATAACAACTATGCTATCAGAAATCAACTGCTTTATCTAGTTTAAATAAGTTAATACGTTTCTGTAGGAGGGTGTAATATGAAGAAAAGATCGGGTCTTGTGTTGGATGCTGCATCACTGGAAAATTACCAAAAAGACATCCAATCGTATCAAATAAAAAGCAATAATTCCTTGCAGTTGAGGGCGTTTTATTTGAATGAATCAGGCCTATTTACAAAAGATGGTCATCAGTTACATGGTACTGTGAATAAGGATGATATAGATTTTTCGACTAAACGTAGCATAGGCCGCGGGGTCAGTGGTGATGTTTTTTTTGTTCAACATAAAGATGGCACTCCAATAGCATTAAAGCGGATTCCTATATCGTCAAAAACGCATCGCGATGAAATTGATAGGGAGCTTCAGTTCTTCAACACACGAGTTGATTCTCCTTTTGTTATGAAGAACCATGGGGCCTACTGGGACGCAGAGGATGGGGCGATTGTTATCTCAATGGAATGGATGGTCTTCACGGTGAAGGACCTCGGTTTTTTTTGGGAAGGACTTGAAGAATCTATTCTCCAAGGTACATTTTTCCAAGTGGTGTCAGGGCTTCTTTATCTTCATGATAAAAAGAGGGTTATCCATAGGGATATCAAACCAAGTAATTTGCTGATCAACAGTAAAGGTCAGGTAAAAATAGCTGATTTTGGAGTTTCGAAGCTTATGCAGACACTGGATGTTTCCTCTACCTACGTTGGTACGATGTACTTTATGGCCCCTGAAAGACTAGAGCAAGGGGCCCATGGATTCAGCAGTGATATATGGTCTTTGGGCCTCACAATGGTGGCTACTATAACTGGTAAAAATCCTTGGGCACCTCCTGAGAAGATGAATCTTTTTGAACTGCTTAAAAAAATTTCTGGTGACAGTGTTCCAACGTTGCCCCAAAAGCCAGTTTATTCGGATGCAGCGCAGGATTTCATTAAACGATGCTTAACGCGTGATCCCAATTTACGACCGACGTGTGCAGAGCTTTTAAGACATCCTTTTCTAAAGGACATGACGGTTGAGGTCGCTATCGAGAATGTGAGGTTAGCAGTTGAATACATGTCGCGTTTAATTAGCAGTGATGCCAAAAAGAATAAGCATGTGCAGCGGTCGCAGGAATCTATACAAAGGGATATGGATGCAAAATTGGATAAGCTAGTATCCTAATATATTTTAGCTGTCTTTTTCCCCTTTTGGAGTTTATCTCATGTTTTATGAAGATGTGTGCTACGACGTTATGCATTTTTACGTATTCAAATAATGCCACTTTTGTAATTGATGACTTACAACTTGCTTTTACTTTTATTTGTATCTTGCCACCAAGTGTAGATTTTCAATTCTATTAAGTTTTTTATTTTTACGTATTCAAAGTCTTTATTGTTTTATTTGTCATGAGTATAAAGGAAACGCTTAAGGTTCCTATTATCATCAATATTTGTTTCCATTTCTATTTGTTTTAATTATATGAAAAGCGTCTACGTAAATATGTTCGTCAAGGGCATTTTTTATTTTTATTTTTCTTGCATTAAAATATAAAAGGCCCTGATTAATTATGGTTATTGTTATTATTCTCTTTGATTTTATTTTTTGAAATGTAACTACTAACAATGTTTGTCTATTTCTTTCCAGCCTTTTCAAGTTTAAAGATCCTTAAAAACAACAACATATACGTTTCTCAGTTTTTCAATATCTTTACAATATGGTTAAATGTCCTTTTGTGCTCAGTCTTGATGCCAATAGGGTACCAATATTATTTTTATGGATCTAAACGGATGGAAAGTCCATATCATTGGGTTTAGTCTGCGAATAAGACTAGTGAGCGGATTTCGTTCACACTTGACACTTATATATTATTCATATGCAATCTTATCACGACTTTAAAATCGAAAAGTCTTGCCATCAGGATAAAAAAAAACTAAACCAATTACCTTCTTTGTTTGGTTGTCTCCAATTACACCAGAATACAATCCTATTTTATGGACTTTTTTCTACAGAATCTGTGTTTTAATGGTGGTTGAACATGCGTGCTTTGAGAGTGTTTCACCAGAAAATAACATGAAATTTTAAGATTTTTCCCCTTCAGATGCAGGTGTTCTAAGTACATTAAAAATGAAGGACTTGATTTGGTATATTAAAATGGAACTCATTATTGAATACCGACATTTTTTCTGATTAAGATGTCACCGAAAAACATGATATCTACACAAATGTTTCTATACATTTTTTTATCCTTAGGTGCATATGTAGATTTGTGCCACGGTTTAAGGAACTCTACCTTTTTCTATCTATTGAGAGTAGCCAATATTCACTATCATTTTTATCGTAATGGATGTTATTTTTAGTTTCAAAAGTTGATTAGATTTTTAAACTTCTGATTTCTCTTCTTTTTAGGATTGTGCGCATGAATATTAGCAATCCAAACTTATTAAATGGATTTTTTGTATCTTTTTTTAAATCATATTTCTCTTCTGAAAAACACTAATATCCAACTCTCCGAGCTTTATCATGCTTTTAGGATTTTTGCTAAATAATGAATTATGAATCCTTTATTTAAATCAGATTCTATCTGGTCCTCTCTTTTTTATAAAAAAAATCCATTTTCTGAATGAAGAATATATCCCCAATGGTGTTTACTAAATCAGAGGAAGTATGTCCTCACTGTTGGGATGAATCAGCTTTGCGACTTCCCGCTTTAAGTGTGGTTAACAAAGATGAATGTGCCTATTGTTGTCACACATGCTCCATGAATGAAGGTATATACGTATGCATGAACTGCTTTACTGGTGTCTGTGCCGATCACGTATCTAAACATATGTCCTTGTTTCCAACGCATACTATGTTCACACTGGTCAACGAACTTCCAGAGGAAAAGCACAATGAGGAGATGAAGACCACATCCCAATTAGGTGTGGTGCGAGCAAAGGAGTACACATACACGGTTAGCTGTGGCGCATGCAGGTTCAACTTTAATAGCGTCCCTGAGCTAGCTGTGGAAAGCTATTATGGTATTGCACAGGCTTCTTTACCAGGTGCCCAGGATGCCGTGAGCGATGCCCAAAATATAGGGTTCGTGAAACCACAATGCCCCCATTTGGTGTGCCTAGAGCAAATGGCAAGTCCGTACTCTGAGGGTGTTTTCCCCTCGTCCGAGAGCACCTGTTCCGTAGAGGGGTGTGGTTGCAGTCTCAACAACTGGATGTGTATGACATGTGGGGCTGTCGGCTGCCCACGGCTGGAGTCGAATGGAAAAGGGCATGCCCTTCAGCATCACAAGCTCACACAGCACCCTGCTGTTGTCAAACTTGGGACCATCACTCCGAATGGCGCTGACTTCTACTGCTACCTCTGCGATGATGAAGTTTCCGATGTGCACTTCGTTACCCACATGGCGCATTTTAGTATTGACGTAGCGACGTCGAAAAAGACGGCGAAGACTATGGGAGAGATGGAATACGATTATTCTATGCAGTGGAACTTTAAGCAAATTATGGAGGATGGTGTGGATTTGGTGCCTTTGTACGGTCCTGGGCGCACTGGTATATATAACAACGGCAACACGTGTTACATTGCATCCGTGCTGCAGAGTCTCATGAGCCTAGACGCATTTCGTGAAGCGTTTTTTCCAAGCTGTTCATGCCCCCATCAAGACCACTGCAAAGCCGTTCCTTACTCCTGTAGAACTTGTCAGACTGAGCGGATAGCTGCTGGCTTGCTCTCCGGAGAATTCAGTAAGGCTGATGAAGAGAGTAAGGGGATTAGCCCGCGTTTATTCAAGAAAGCGTATGCCGGAAATCATCCAGACTTTTCAACACATCTGCAGCAGGATGCACACGAGTACTGTTTGTATTTACTAGAGGAAATTAAACGCCATACAAAACCAGTCAATCAGCATTCTACTTCATTAAACCCATCTGAAGCATTTGAAATGTTGATGGAACAGCGCCTAGAATGCACCCAATGCCATTCGGTACGGTATACCCTAAACAAAGAAAAGTGTCTTTCACTGTCTATTCCTATTATGAATAATGCACCCATGGCCAACTTAACGACAGAGGAAAAAGAAGCCCAGATACCGCGCTGTTCACTGGAGGATTGCCTCCAAGGGATGATAAGCCCAAGCATGGTCGAATGCAAGTGTGAAGCTTGTGGAGAAGATGTTGTTTGCAAGATTACTACGAGAATACATAGCTTTCCTGATTTTTTGCTTGTGCACCTGCGTCGTGTTAACTTTGACATGAAAACCTTCACTGCGAATAAGATGGATGTTTACGTTGATGTTCAAGAGGAAATTAACTTGGAGGCTTACCGTGGGCATGGGCTGCAAAATAGTGAGGTTGAGATACCTAAGGCCTCAGACAATATCCAACATAAGCCGTCCAAGGTGCTTGATGTCGTCGATGTAGACGAGGTGGCGCTCGCGACCATTATGAGCATGGACATTGAGCCTGATATTGCAGTGTACGCACTTCATCAAACCAATATGAATGTGGAACGTGCACTGGACTACATCTTTAGTCATCCAGATATCAAACGTGAGATATCCATCAATAATGTTCAACACAACAATCTCGCTAACTCTTCTTCGAAGTTTACAGAGTTATCTTTGTTTTCCCCAACGGATGGTGCGCCATCCTACAGGCTAAAGGCTATGATTAGTCATATGGGGTCAAATTCAAAATCAGGACATTACGTTTGTCACGTTCAAGACTCGGATACTCGTCAGTGGATGCTGTTTAATGATGAAAAGGTAGGCATTTCTAAAAATCCTCCATTTTCCCTGGGAATGATGTATTTTTATGTTCGACAATAAGCGTAACAAATCTACTAAATAATTCGTTCACTTTCAAGGCTTAATTATGATTGAACTTACGCACCGATGACAGGTGTTCATTTTATGATGAGTTTGCTTCATTTTAAGAGATGCACTAATAATGTATTTGCATCAAACATGAACAACCCATTCAAAGGTATCTATTATGTACGTATGAATAGACATGTTGCCACTTTCATTCGAACACCAATGCTTCAAAATTACTCATTTTCTCTGCATTTTTATTCTTCATTAAATGATTAATATATGCATATATATATATATATATATATATATTCTTAAACACTTATTCACAGAAATTTTTGCGACTCAAAAGCTTTTTCTTTTACAGTTTAATTTTTTTTATATAGTCAGTTTCTTCTCTTTTTTACATTAGAAATTAAACTTCATTCTTTTTTCTTCTTATTCGACGCGAATTGTTGCTTTAGCAACGAACAATCAAATATTTTTAGCAAAGTCTGAAAAAAAAGGCGTCATTTTTTTCAGAAAGTGAATGAAGACAAATTACATTTATTTTACAAATATAATTAAACCATCAGCTTAACAAGCGCAAGAAAGAAAGGGAACCTTTTTGTGTAATCCAATCAAAGAGCTTCTGATCGTTAGAAAATTTACGATAAAAAAGCAGATAGCTCGCGTGATACACGTCTGATTTAAAAAAAAAATTAAATTGTTTTCCCGTTAACCGCTTTCTTTTTTTTAAGTTTAAACCTCTAGAGACGCAGGTTAATCGAACACATTTTTAACATACTGTTCACAAGGCAATCTGGTTCCAGGTTCTTGGCTTTCATTTTCTTTTGGTTAATTGCTTTGTAATTTATTCCTTACCGATACGAGGCATCTACTTGAAGGGCTAAAAAAAATACAGAATCACCCTTCTTTTTTTCTTTTCCCCTTAGTTTCTGAAATCATGAATCCCGAGACGATCTACGTGTTCGATCCTACCACGCAGGTCTCTAGTCACCCAGCCAATAATGAAGGTGTGGTGTATGTGTCCGCCCCCCCGTCCACCGCGACGGGGGCCACCCTGCAACTTGTCCAAGGGGCCATGCTCCCACCTTTACCATCCGCCTCCCCCGATTCGGTTCCTAATCAGTCGCACGTCCTGAGCGTTAATGCTTACCCCGTTTCCTACACTGTTCTCCCTTCCTCGAACCAAACCTACGATGTGAATCATTTCGATTTAACGCGGTACGCCGCCCTCGGTGCTCCTATTCACAACGCCAGACCACCCTTTGGGAGTTCGTTCGCGTCCCAGGGGCAACCCCCCAACCTGAAAACAATACCGCTCTATTTGCTGAGTCCGCTTGGTCAGGAGCAGCAGCCTTCGCCGAACAGTGTGAACTCTTCGTTTGCGCCCGGGTTTGCGTACTTGGAGGCGCCGTATATGGGGGGCTCCTCGACCATCCACACGCCCCACACCACAGCCACCATCGCGGCCACCCAGCAGCAGTTAAATATCATACCCAGTATGGATCAAGGACCCTTGACGATGCTCCCCGTTCCCACCTCCTCCCCCGTACACCCTTTAATGGGTCCGCAAAAGACGTGGTCGATTTTAACGACATCGTTGAATAAATCCCCCGAGCCGGCCACACCTTCACACCCATTGGGCCTATGCAAGGGGGCGAATTCCCCTAATTTGGTCTACCCCCTGGTCGAACAACATAGCAGCAGTAGTACGGCCTCGGTGGCGCACCTGAAAAGTCCTGCACAATCAGACATGCACAAAAAGTTCCCAATTGAGTATCATCCAAACCCCAGTCCTCTTTCTTCTAAAGGAAAGCAACTGCCTCGGTTTATGGGCGTGAGGGGGTTTTTAGCGCCTCCCCCGTTGGGCAGCCGCATTGTGCCTGGAACGACAACGCTGTTAGATATCCCACCATTAGCCCTACCAGAACCTAGATGGGGAATTCTTCCTCAGGCTGCGCTTCTGGCAGAGTGATTCAAAATAGATACGCAGGCGAAGGGGGGGAAAGGTAGGAGAGGTTTTGATAATTTACTACGGCACAAGTGGCCAAAATAATTATATCGGCAAAAATAATTCGCACCTGTTTTATTTTTAGCTGATATATAAAACATATTTCGCCACTTCAGTTGGCATTTCTCAATCAAATCTTGGGTTTGTTGGACTGGAAAATTTTGCTGATTATGATTCCACAATTATAAAGAACCCTTTATATTAAATAGTATACACACAGTGTATTTGTACATATTCTTTTCATTTCTCTATTATTTTAAAACCTGCATATTAGTCAATGTTTATGTAAAGGTTTCTGTGAAACCATTAGTAAGCTTGATTTTTTTTCTCTTGATCAGTAAGGGTCTGTTTTTAAAATTTTAACCTCCTCTCTTTTTCGTTCTGTACTTTTGCTTACATACTTACCTTTCCCCCCTCTTCCTCTCTTTACATAGCCCTGGCTTAGCCAAATCGATTTTAAACGCGATTCACTATAAGGTACCTGTAATGTTCCTTTCCACTTTATCTCATCCTTTATTTTGAGCATATCCCATCCTTCTGTTGGTTTACAACTTTTCCCCCCTTGTATCGTATGTGTCGTTATTTTAGCACATCTTAAGGTATATGAATCCATGGAAAAATGTAGTACTTTTTCTGTTTTCGTGGTTGACATACATATTAGTAAAAAAAAAGTCTGTATTATACACGTGTGTGGATCTTCTTTTTCTAAGAAAACTCACAACTTGAAATCTGAATCTTAAGAATTCATAGGCTAAAAGCTATTTTTAGCCTTATTCTTGTTATTGAAGTTATTTTTTTCACCATGAAACCTGTGTAGCGAGTATGTATATTAAGTGATCCAGATGTGGTTTAGGTTTAATTTCGTGAGTTGTAGTAATATGTAAGATAGTGGTAAACTCGGAACAACATTAGACAAATCCTTTCTTATTTGTGTAATGGTGTAGAGCCATGTTTTTGTGGCAATATGGCAAGTATTTTCCCGTTCCACCCGTTCCACAACCCTTCATATAAAGTAGTTTTCACGGAGGAAATTTATCTACATCACTACTTCGTACATGTGAACTTTGAGAGGTATAGATCATGAGACAAAACCATTACTTAGATTGATATTTATATAAATCTACAAATCTGAGTTATCATATTATACCAAACTTAAAAATCATCTGAAATTAATGCAAGCACATCGAAAAGATCTACTTCCTTTTGTTTCCTCCACCTTATACAACATAGAGGTAAACATGCTGTAATATCTTCCTTTACCTATATATATATATATATTGCTTCTTGTCAGAATCTATGCTATTGACATACAGTTTATCCACTTTACTGCTTCAAATAGACAGTTAACACTGGGCTCTCATAATATGCACCCAATATTGAATTTCATTGAGAAGCAGTAAAGCATCGTGGCACCGTATGATCCAACTGCGGAAGGAGTTTATTTTTGAGAAATCAAAAGGACCAAATAGAGAAAGTTGAAAATCCCAAAAGATATGACCTATTCAAACACAAAATCTTGTAAACTTTTTTTTGAACTTTTTTTCCGTGTTTGCTTTATGGTATGTGTTCTATTACATTAAGACGTCATGTTGGAAAGTCCTTATTAATATTATTTAACATCCAAAATCGTGATGTCTTTATTTATCTGCGTCGGAGATACTTAAAAGGAAAAACTTATGATTAGACCAAGCTAGAGCTATTTTTGGCATTATTCAATTTTCATTATGCCCAATCATGATCTACCCTTTTCATACAGGCTTGTTCGAAATTTATTGTTATCAATCTTTTTCTTGATTCAAGAGAAGATGAAATGATGGTTCTTTATATTTCGGTACTATTACATGAAAAAATTTAGAAATCCGTTTTTAGAGGATATACACAGTTTGAGTTCCACATTTGTTTCATTTTGTCACTAATTTTTTTTGCTGAGAGTGTACAATATTGTTTTTTTTCGAACTATATTCTGGAACACTCGAAGTAAATGACATATGGTTTGAGGTCTTTATGACTACAAAAATTTTTTGGGTTTTTTAATAATCAAGTGCTAAATGCTTTTATTTTCCTAAACCTGCTATAGAAATGTAAAATGAATCAGGAGGAGGAATAAACAGTAATTTTGTACTCAAAGCGTGGTGGATCGCTTATTTATCTCATTTGCTTGTATTGTTGCTTTGCGGTACTAGAGTCCTAAATCTGGCCTTACCATCTCAGCATCATAAGTTCATAGTTACCACGAAATAATATACTTACTCATGCAATTTCTGTCTTAATCTACAGAAACCGTTAATAATTTTAAGTTTTTTTTTACTGTATCTTTCACCCAAACAACCCTTTGTTTACTTCAAGCATTTCTTTGTCTACATCAATTTATATATATATCGATATATTTATGCTTATGCGTATATGTATACATTTATATTTGCCCAATTACTTTAGTGTAAGATGATCAAATGCTAATTGCATTAATAACCCAAACATGATCGACCCATTTCTAAACATCTCGTTTCGTTTTGAAAGACGAAATGTTATTTTCATCACCTTTTAGATGACACAAGAGTAGGTGAAATGTGTTTTATGCACTCACACTCTTTCGATTTTTATTATCATTATAAGTCTTACACATATTCAAGAAAATAATAATAATAATAAATCCGATTTATTGATTTTTGTCAATACGTGAGAGCACACAATGCATTTTCATTAATGATAGTATGATGAAAAATATATATATATATATAGATATATATTCACTTTGGAAGTTTTATATTGTAAACCACCAATTTGTTTAACCTTTACGTTGTGTCCTAAATGGAGAAAGGGTTGTGGCATTTAACGGTGAAGCATAAGATTTTTTTAATAAACAAAGTTTAGGGCAATATTTCATTTTTTCGGGACACTCTTCACAATTATTGTCTTAATAAAAATAAATGAATAACCCAATATATATACATATGTACTTGCTTACGTGTATGTATGCTGAACACATATGTTCATTTCTTTAAAGTTCCACTAAACGTCTTGCTTCAAACAATATTCATTCGAATATTTTTTCTAACTGAGACTGCTGTCTGAAGGATATAGTTAAACTCTGACAATTTTCTAGTGTCCATATCTTCCTGTTAGACACTTGCTTAACCTTGAGTGAGTAACATATTAATCCATTCTTACACTACCACTTTATCTTCAAAAAGCTCGTCCTTCAACTTCTTATTACTCTGCCTTCGCTCTTTGATATTTATCGTAGCTATCACTCTGCTCTTAAACTCCACGCCATGTTATATTTGGGTTATTTGATTGTGCTCTATAGCATATTTATACAACTACTTTACCACCGTAAGCTGCCTGTTTGGGTTATGCGCTTGTGGTTTTCGATTAACGTTGTATTGCAAGTCATTATATCCTGCGTGGTGTGTCAAATCATCACATTTCTTTCAAAGATTCTCAACCTGTATAGTTTGAGAAATTTACATAGATTATCCATTCGAGCATGTTCCATAATCTTCAAATATGTTCTACCCTTTCAATTTTCGCACATCCATATAGAATACATGAGCGGTTCTCTCCGTTGGAGCGATATCAAAAATCAGCACTGCATGTGTATAACACATGCAAGTTTTTTTGATGTGATTCTATTCCTTTTTTTAGCCCCAACTAACTATATCACAAATGCAAGGACGTTCAACAAGGCTTCCCTTTGGAAACTCCCACTCTTTGGCTATGTTATTAAAGCTTGTGGCCACTTTCCGGTGTACTTTACTGAAGAAAACAGTTCGTCCTTTAAAGTGGATAAGGAAAAGCAGGTTGAAGTAGCTGCCCGTGTTGAGGAGTTCCTGAACGAGGATGGCTCTTTAGCCTTCTTCCCTGAGGGGGCCCTCAATCGAACACCAGAGGTGCTTAAAGAGCTTCGATTAGGGAGCTTTAATACCATTATTGCTCATAAGTTACCTATCTACTACATAATTACATATGGGAATCATGAAGTGTGGCCACCAGACCTGAAGGGTGCACCAGGATACCCTGCTGACATTTATGTATACTTGGGTAAATTTGAGTACGATGCGGACGCGGTGGATGCACGCTTCTTGTCGACCGCACTCAGGGATGATATGCAAAAACATTTAGATGATATGATAGCTTTACGCAAAAAGCGAAACTATGAACCGTGGAACAGGGTTTCCTCTTAGACAAACTGGCACTACTTCCAGTCACTTTCATATTTTGGATTCTGTAGATGAATTATCGTAGGAAAGCAGCCCATATTATATTTATTATCTGTGTTTATTCCCTTTTACGGACTCTAGGGTTTTAAGAAGTATATATTTTTTAGTACTTAAAAAAAATATTATTTCACAGATGAGGCTACCATCATTTATGTTGCTCACTTCATCATTTTAATGTTTTTTTTCCAATTTATAGAGTACTGTGATAATTAAAATAATCATTAAGATAGTTAAAGAGAGCACAAATTGTAAACTATGAAACACCTCATATAATATCTCTTTTAACAATGCTGTATACTTTTTCAGCCCTTTACACGATTAGACACCTTTTGCATCTGAATTATACCTTTCTTTTATCCATTCTAAAAGGTTTCAATTGCACTTATTATTTACGTTTCTTTTTCCAGAAAAACATTCATGTTTTTCGATGATCGCTTAGCCGATACCTCTGACTTTGAGAGCTCACTTCACGATGAAGTTAAGGGTGTAGATGGTGTGCATCCTTCTGTCAGCCTCCCTCCTCGTCCCCCCCCCAGTTTCTCTGCGAGCAGCAGTCATCTTCCTGGGCGTCTGGGAGGGGTGAATTCCTCCATCGTGGAGGAAGGCAATCCCGCAAAGGTTTCCCCTTTCGTGACTTCGCTGGTGAACGCTACAGAAAGCGAGCGGCATTGCCCGGATATCTTGCGCTATCCCACGGCGCTTATTGACACCGCCGTGGGTTTTATCGCGCACCAACAGGAGCGTGTGCGCCAGCTTTTGGAGGCGGAAAAGAAGGCCTCCGCGCGTGAGCTGTCCGACACGGTGTCATTGTTACCATTTAAGCCATCGGACATCATGTCCCTCGAGCTACAGCGCCTGCAGTTTTTCCTCTGTGAGCTGCTCCGCTGCCGGCTGCGGAAAATTGAGGCGATGTGTATGAGTATCTACTACGAAGGCCTCCTGGAAGAGAATCACGCAACCGAGGTCGAGGTCCCGTCTCCGCAGCGTGGGTTTTTAAGCCATAACGAGCGTATTGTGGCTGATCGGCTTGCGATTGCCTCCAGAAAGGCCGCACTGCAGGTTGGGCTGAGCGGCGTGCCCGAGGCCCTGCAGCATTTACTGCCTCATCCTCCCGACGGCGAAGGCAACGAGGTGCTCCCGGAGCCGGATCTCAACACATACGTGTTTGGTATCGCCCTCGTGGACCTTGACATGGTGCGTGTTGGGAAGAACTCGGAGCAATCAATTCAGTCGAATGATTTGTTTCTGATGCCATATTCGACCTTTAGGCCCTACGTGCGCGCTGGACAGGTGCGGCTTGTTTAGAAGTCCTAATGCGGACCTATTAAGGTAGATCAAAAATTCTATTCTTTATATGGTAAATGGTTTCCCTTTTTCGTTTTCTTTTAGGGCGCAGGTATTCACCATCTGGAGGTTCTCAAGGGGAAAAATCAGTAATTTTAGTTTTGATCATGAAGGGTGTCCCTACTGTATTGTCTTATTTTGCACTTTTGCGTGTATGCGTATGTGTGCCACTACTTGCCTTGTGAAGGAAAAGAGGAAAGAATAATTCCTGACATTTTTTTCTTTTTCTTTTTTTATTTCATGCAAGAGAGGAAGTGCTAGTTTTAATTTAATCTAGTTGAAATAGAGTCACAGAATAGCTATGACGGATGCAAGCGAAATTGCCGCACTCATGGCTTCCGAAGGCGATTATGAGAAGAAGATTTCATGGTTAAAAAGAGCCATTGTTAGCGTAACCAAGCAAAAACAAGAAATCGAAGCACAAAAAAACCAACTGCAAAAAGACCTTCTTGTCTCTCAAAAGGAAGGTGACCAACTAAAGGAGGAAAATCTTAAGTTGCATAAAAGAGTTTCAGAACTCGAGAGTGAGTTTGATCAGGAACGAAAGAAGGGTTCATTTGGGAAAACTATGCTAAAAGGGCTTTCATTGTTGGTATCGAAGAATCAGACTGGTGTTGCTGACCCCGAGCGTGCAGAGCAGCGTGTCAAAGGGGGCGATGAAAAGCGAGCACTTGATTTAAGTAGTGCAGATGTGGAGCACATTATCAAACAAAATGAAGATCTTATGATTCAAATCTATGACATCAAAAATGAATATGATGAATTAAAAAAATCATTTCAAAAAAATCTCAAACAACATCAAGCGGAGGTCACTTCAATAACGCATAAGACCGAGGACCTATCCAGTCTTTTAAAGGAGGTCACTAGCGCATGCGACACTCTCAATTCCGATTGCTCTCGCCTCAAGGCTATCGTTCACTTTTGTCGTAACTTCTTTTCACTTATCTCTCTGCCTCAGACTTCTTCGTTCCTCAGTACAGAGACTTCGGTCGGAGGTGATGACACCCTTCACCAGCAGTCATTGCATCAACGTGCGCTTTATTTTAAGATATCATTTCCAGGATGTGGGGACTCCCCTAGCAACTTGTTGCCGGCCGATGTCGAGGAGGAGTTGGTTTGCCACACTATACAAAATGCCTGTAGTCGCCTTAGCACGTTAATAGGTGGAGTTTCCGTCCTCATTATCACCCTTCGCGACACCCTACCACAGTCCCAGCGCACCACTGTTGCCAACTTGCGCTTCTCGGAGCATCGCTTGACTACGCTGCTTGAGGCGAATAATTCTGTGAAGGATCGTTTGTTACATCTAATAAAGAATTTTGAGGAGTTTGTTTTAACAAGCTCTGATAAGGATGAGACCACCCTGACGGATTCTGTTACAACGTTGCTGTCCAACCAGCGTGAGCTTCTTCAGGGGGTTTGCAGTTGGGTAACGATGATCCAGAATCATCTACCTTTACTTGTGAATGGTTGCACTACTTACTTACCACAAGACCACAAGTACCGCGTTCACAAATCAGCCTCAAACGCGGATGTGTGCGAGGTGGATGAGCGGGATGTCTTTGTGGACATGGTGGTTGAAAATGCTAATAAGATCTTGAGCTGGATTCGAGGTTGCCTGGAAGGGATGGAGCTGTTGCTTTTGGAACCAGCAGAAAGAATATTATCAGCTGTAGTTCAGCAACACAGTGAGACGTCCGTGCTATTTAGTTCATCTCGAAAGGAGCAGCTGGAATGGCTTATAGCATATCAGCAAGTATGGTGGGAGGGTAGCACGGCTTTGCCGGAATTTGTGAGGGACGCTCTTTCCATGGTTTCTGCACTTGAGGATATGGCTGAGGCATGCGCTGTAGCGCAGGTTCGCGACGCTATAAAATATATAGTATCAAGTTTACAGCTTTTATCAGGTGTAAATAGTGGAGGTCGATACTTGACTCACAATAAAATCAGTGTCGGGACGCTTGAGGATAGACGCTGCGTCAGGGTACATGATGTTGACGAAAAGGATGAACCATCTCTACTGCAGTGCTCTCGAGAGTTGAACCCTGATTCTCAATATACTGATCAGTCTGAGCTTTTGCATGGACTTGAGGCTGCGGATCGCGCCGCGGTGTGCTATTATACTCAAATGAATGCTGTTATGATCGAGCTCGCCAAGAAGGAGGACATCATTTGGGGTCTCCAAGAAGGACTACAAGAGGCATCTGTGCGGTTGGGCCAACAGCAAGTTGAAACAGACCGGATGCAGGCTGCGCTTCAGGAACAAATCGAGGTCCTTTCTGATCAATTAGTATTCGCTAATACTTCTGCCTTGCTTGATACTCCACAAAATTAGGAGAAATGTTAAGGATAAAAATGACATTATCGTTTCCTTAGTGTAGAAGAATGGCTGCGAATGTTTCTATGTTACTGTTATATAATTGATCAGTCAATGGATTATGATATTTAGTGTCTTGCTATGTATTTCATATACTTATAGTTTTACCGATTGCTGTTTTCTACAACTGATTTTAAGAACAGTAGATTTTTTATTAGTTTTTTAGCGTTTTCCAATTACTGTTATATATCTATATTTATAAAATAATCCATAAATTTGATAGAATTACACACATATATATATATATAAGTAGTACTAGTGTGTGAAGATATAACAAGATGTCATCGCCTTCAAGCGTAAAACTCAACAACTTTTTTATACCCAAATCGTATGCCCTCGAGATTGAGGTTGATCTGTCGACCTGGTCTTACCGTGCTCGCGAGGACATCATTTTAAAACGTAATACGAATTTTGCTGAGACAGCCAATTCACCGAAGGATGTGATTCGGCTTCATGTCGGAGACCATATGAAAATCGAAGGACTGGAGGGTGGAGCACTCATAGAGCGTGATGATAAGTCTCAAACAGTAAGCTTCAGGCTTGAAGGCGAGTCTGCCGCGGCTGAAGAGCACCGTGTTACTTTTATATTCAGCAACTCAATCAATCCAGAGCTTCGTGGCTTTTATCGCGTCACTATACAAGAGAATGGAAAGGAAGTGCGTATGGCTTCTACACATTTTGAGCCGACCTCCGCACGGCTGTTTTATATTTGCCAGGATGAGCCCGCAAGCCGTGCAGACTTCACACTAAGGGTTCTATTACCCAAGATGTACGAGGAATACACCGTTATTTCTAACGGCAAGTTGCGCAAAAAGGAGGCGAATATCAACGGCCAAATTGAGCACGAATTCGACATGATTTCACAGTGTCCGCCGTACCTCACTGCTTGTATCGTGGGGCGATTTGAAAGCATCTCGGCAACCAGTAAGTCAGGCATTCCGATATCGGTTTTCACGACTCCTGGGAAGCTTCCCCAAGCCCAGTTTGCGCTTCAAGTCACAACCACCGCGGTGGACTTCTTTCAGGACTTCTTTCGCTGTAAGTACCCACTTCCAAAGCTGGATTTGATTGCCGTGCCTGATTTTCCCATTGGTGGGATGGAAAACTGGGGGTGCATCACATGCGTGGAGGCGATTTTGGTCAACCCGGGCACTTCCAGTGTCGATGCGATGAAGCGTGCGAGTGAGCTGTTATGCCACGAGGTGTCTCACAATTGGTTTGGAAATTTGGTTGCCATCAACTGGTGGGAAGGGCTGTGGTTGAAAGAAGGGTTCGCGTCGTGGTGTGGTTACTATGCCGCCCATGTCCAGCATCCGGAGTGGGATTGCCTCAGCGATGCCGCTCAGCAGGTCAGCGGAGCGATGACGATGGACATGTCCGAACACAGCCATCCCGTCGAAGTTCCCATTCAGGATCCAGCTGAGATCACAGAAATCTTTGACTCCATTAGCTACAACAAAGGAATGGGTTTGGTGTTTATGTTACAGTGCTTCCTCGGCCCGAAGTGGGAGGCCGCAGTGGCTTACTACATCAATAAGTACCAATTCAAGGACACCAAGACAGTGCAGCTGTGGCTGGCATTGGAGGAGTCTTCTGGAGTGCCGGTGAATGAGATAATGAGCTCATTTACTACAAAGATGGGGTACCCCGTGGTCTTCGTCCAACATACTGCCGGACACAAGGAACTTATTTTACAGCAGAAGCCATGTAAGTACGTGTCCTCCGGCGGGGATTGCACAGACACGTGGTGCATTCCAGTGATCATTGAAAGCATTGACAATCAAAGGACTACCGCTATTTTGCGTGGTCGTGAACCTTTAGTTGTGTCTCTTCCACCGGAAATGCAGGGCAAGGATGTGTGGTTAACAGCTAATCCTTGTCGATCTGGATTCTATCGATGTTACTACGAAGATAATCAATTTAAGTTATGGTTATCTTCCTTCTCCACGTTGAAGCCAGCCGATAAGCGCGTTATTATCACTGATACTTTTGCTGGCTTGTGGATGGGCCAGCAGGAGGTCCTGGGACGTGTGGTTGCCCTTGGAAAAGTTTTACGGGATACCATGGAAAATAATACTGGGGTTCTTATGGATTTTTCAAGGGGTGTATTCTCCTTTGCAGCGTGCTTTGATCCGCAGGAAAAGAATCTGATAATAGCTTCACAGCTAAGCTTTATTATTGACCTGGCTCAAAAGCGGTTTCATCAAGTCGCGACAAACGCCGAGGAGGAGATTTCACAGAATTATATCATTTCCACTGCGCTGAGCATGTTGCTGGATGGTGAAGTTAACTCAAAGACAACTTTGCTGGGGGAAAACCCTATTGTCCAATGGGCGATTGAACAAGCTAAAGGGTATCTCTCTGGAGATAAGTACTCAAATGTGGCGCTTGAAAAGAGTCTCACTACATATGTACGTGTATGTGATGATGCTAGTATGCAGGAGAAAAATGAGCAATTATTGTCGAAATTAACAAAGGAGGACGGTAATGACGAGACACTTCGCGCACTTATCACCAGTTTGTGTATGAGCCAGAATACAGAGTTTGTAAAAGATGTTGCTGTTCGGTGCATGCATAACGATGGAATTCGTAGCCACTTTGGCGGTAATGTTTTTGTTTCTATGGCAAATAATATCTTCTTTAAGGAAGGTGAGGTGTGGAATTTCTTCAAGGAGCGGTTTGTGGATATTGACCAGCAGTGGGGTAAAGGACAGTTCCGCATTCAAGTAATCGTAAGTTCTGTGGGTAGCACACTTAAGTGTACTGAAGCTAACGCAGTTGAATATGCGAACTTTTTCAAGAACCACCCCATTCCAAATGCGCGATTAGAAATCGCTCGAACAGTGGAAAAAATAGGCCTAAAGTCCTGGATGAGGCAGAATTGGTTAAAACTTGTTTTATCAACGTTTAAAATCTAAAATCATGGACATTTCAAACAATTATACACATATAGGGACATGCATTCTTGTTAGCATGCAAACTAGCTATAACATTAAGCGATAAATTTATTCTGTCAAATACAATAACGTTTTTTTATTTTTGAGAATTTTATTGTTTTTCTCTAATAGTTGAAATTGTTATATCTTCTTTATAAATAGTTAAAGTTTTTTTTTATATAGGGAATCTTATGGTCCATAATATACTAAATTTTCAGTTTGATATAATGGATCAACGTATTAATTGGACATGAATCTCAATCAGGTGTATACCTGCATCTCGATGGATGAATATTGGGTAAAAACTACAATTATGTATTTTTTTTCAGGACGCACTTCGGATGTCTACTCAACTATCTTTTTTTTTTTATTATACTTCAAAAGCCAAACCCAGGGTATGAGTACTTTTACTTTATTACACACCCACACCCACACCCACCCACCCTCGCCAAGACCGTGTAATCCAAGTCCCATCGCATGAATTTCGCAGTCGTAGGTGCGGGCGAATTAGGGGT